CTGAGGCAGCCCCTCAAGTATTGGATGACTTGCTCTCCTGTTTCCCGGGTCCTCCTCTTCGCTAAACTAGCCATGCCCAGTTCCTGCAACCGTTCATCGTCTGTTTGAGCCTCCAGTCCCCTCATCATCCTGGTGGCTCTTCTCTGCACTCTTTCTAGAGTCTCCACCTCTTTTTTTATAGTGTGGTGACCAAATTGGATGCAGTACTCCAGGTGTGGTCTTAACCCAGCTTTATAAAGCGGCTGTCAGGTTTCGATGCTATCTCAAAATAAATGAACTTCCAAACTGCCGATCTTTAAGGAAATTTTCTCTTTATTCGAGCACAGCCATCTGATCCTGACTCTTTCGCGGTCAGTACTGACCTTTGCCCCCAATCCCTCCCTTTCCGATCCCCAATTCTCTGCTTCTCATTGGCTATCTTCCAAGTCCCTTTCCGATTCCTTTCTTCGTCAGGTCACAGGAATGTCTCCCTCCTCCCCATCTCCGAGGAGACCGAATCTTCAAAGGGATTTAGCAGGCAAAAGTTCAGGCTTCTCCTCCCTTTTTTATGTCAGTGCTGGGACGCTGACAGCGGGACTGTCACTTCGCATATTATCCCTTTGTTGATGCAGCGCAGGATTGCATTGGCCTTGTAGGCAGCTGCAACACACGGCTGGCACATACTTAGGTGAAGGTCAACTAAGATACTTAGACCCCTCTCACTCTGGCTACTTTTGAGCCAGGTACCAACTAATGTACACCTGTGCACTTGGGTTATCCTGCCTAAGTGCAGGTCCTTACTTTTCTCACCACTGAATGGCATAAGTTGGAAGGGACTTCAGAGGTCTTCTAGTCCAACCCCCTGCTCAGGCAGGAAACATCATACCATTCCAGACAAATGGTTATCCAATCTCTTCTTAAAAACCTCTGGTGTTGGAGCCCCCACAACTTCTGGTGGCAAGCTGTTCCACTGGTTAATTGTCCTCACTGTCAGGAAATTTCTCCTTAGTTCTAGATTCCTTCTTTCTTTGATGAGTTTCCATCTGTTGCTTCTTCTCCTGCCTTCTGGGGCTTTGGAGGATAGGTTGACCCCCCCTCTTCTTTGGGGCAGCCCCTTTTGTCGGATCACGGGGCCCAGCGCTCAAGTCTGTTGGGATCCTCTGAATCTTGAGTCGTCTTGTTGTTGTAAAGTGTTCCCTATTCCCCCTACCAGCTTGGAGGAATAATTCTTCTCCAGTTACACGTGTGTTTGCATCGGGACGAAACCCGAGAGAGCGTGTTCGGCATAACTGCAGGCAACCTCGCAGCAAAACTCTCTTGTTTCCCAGGAGGTCAAATGATTGCCCTTGGCACTGCTATTTAAAAGCAAATGCATTTATTTACTTGCTCTTAATCCGCGCTCCAATGCTGCCTTCTAGATCGTTAATGGAAGGAGTTCTAGCGCATAACCTTTTCCGTTTCCCATGGCAATTTAATTATGGATCTTCCCCCCCCCCCACCACACACACTTGCTAAGCAGCATTTCTCTCAAGCTGCCTCAATAGATGTGAGCTGACAGACGACTAAAGTAGAACAAATTTTGTCTCTGTCTTCAAAAAAAAAAAAAGGAAGGGAAAGGCTCAGGAAAACCAACAATCCGGCATTCGACATGAGATGGCCAGGAGGTTTCTGGAGCAGATCGGCGGCTTGAATCCCTAGTATAGGTTTCCTGTGTGAGCGGGGGGTTGGACTAGATGACCTCCAAGGTCCCTAGGTTACTTTGAGGGCTCTGGCTCTTCTGTGGTTCATCCTCACTGTAGAAGGTGAAAATGAAGGGTTACGAAAGGTTTAAGTTCAAATCTTGCCAGGTTCAAGGTTGCCTCAGCCTTCCATCCTTTCTAAGGTAGGTAAATTGAGGACCCAGTTTGTGGGGGCAATAAGCTGACTTTGTATAAATATACAAAAGGATGAAGGCTATTGCTTAAAGCATTGTAAGCCGCCCTGAGTCTCCGGAGAAGGGCGGCATATAAATCAATTTTTTTTAAAAAAAAAAAGCCCCTTTCTGGGTCCTGTATTGTGTGATGTTTTTATTAATGAGCTGGATGTCTATTCTAGTCTTCTGGGCTAAAACATAAGAAGAACAATTGCAGGAACTGGGTATGTCCAGTTTGATGAAAAGAAGGACAAGGGGTGACATGAGAGCAGTCTTCCGCTATCTCAGGGGCTGCCCCAAAGAAGAGGGAGTCAAGCTGTTCTCCAAAGCACCTGAGGGCAGGACAAGAATCAACGGGTGGAAACTCATCAAGGAGAGAAGCAACTCAGAACTAAGGAGAAATTCCGTGACAGTGAGAACAATTAACCAGTGGAACAGCTTGCCACCAGAAGTAGTGAATGTTCCAACACTGGAAGTTTTTAGAGATCGGACAACCATTTTTCTGAAATGATATAGATTAACATTAGCGCAATAGTCAAGAAGTAAAAAATACCCCAATCATGGAATTCCCAACTCAGACAAACAGTCAAGGAATAAATAATAGCCAAACCAAGCAACCATCAAGAACGCTCCCACCACGACTGACAGGGCAATAAATAGAGAGCAAACTCCTTTCCTTTCTAGCACTGATGATGTTACCTAGTTGGGTGATGAAATGTCTACAAGAAAACTGCCAAGCTCGGAGAGCACCAAGGACTCCACAGCCTCCTCCCCATCCTCCCCCCTCCACACAACCCTTCTTCTGGCACTGATGATGCTACCTAGTTGGGTAATGAAATGTCTGAAAGGAAATAATCAAGCTCGAAGTGCCCCAAGCACCCCACAGTCCTCCTCCTCCCCCCAAACCTTACTCCCTCCTAGCACGGATAACATTACCTAATTGGGCCATGAAACGTCTGCCAAAAAAACCACCAAACTCAGAGACATCAAGGACCCCACAGTCTTAATTATTTCTGAAGCAACCTATTTCTTTTAAACTTTTTATCATTGAATAAACAACTGAAGAAAATTAAGAGGTCTTTCAGCATGAGAATGAAATGAAAACCTCTGTCAGGAAGTTTATGTCACTGACTGCTACCCAGCCGTGTCTCCTAAGATTTTGCATTTACATGTCTACGTATTCAACAAATGGATTTGCAGAATTGTTTTCTGCTCATCCAGGCTGCGAAATCATGTTCTTATACAATCATGTAGAATTTTACGAGCTTGTGCAACCTTATCAGAATCGTTCGTTAAACTAAACCATGTTGGATCCTACAAATGGAATGATTTCCCTAGATTTCCTTCAATCTGAGCGGCAGCTGCAAACCACCCATTGCTGTTTACATGAATTTGGAACCAAAAAAAAGTTTACACTTGATGGCACTGTTAAATATTTAGTGAACATTCTGCAAATTGTAAAAAATCCTTATTAAAAATAGGCACGTTCAACAGTTGCTAAATGCTAACAGAATGTCTTTGGTGATGCAAATTCATTTCCTTCGGTGCTTTAAATTAATTCTTACTAGGACAGTGTTTCTCAACCTTGGTAGCTTGAAGATGGGTGGACTTCAACTCCCAGAATCCCCCAGCCAGCAGCGCTGGCTGGGGGATTCTGGGAGTTGAAGTCCACCCATCTTCAAGCTTCCAAGGTTGAGAAACACTGTCCTAGGAAATACTGAAAATTCCCCTAGATATCGTCCCAAAATTCTGCTTATCACGTTTGAGATATATGATGTAGAGTAGGATGTCCTTGCTATCCGTATTTAAGGAACCAGTAAGAAAAGGCAGACACCTCCTTTATCTGCAATAGCTGCGCAGGGGATTTATGTGTCAAAAAATCCAAGTTGGTGTTGTGGCCCCAGCTGTGAAATCAAAATCTGGCCCTGGGCATGAAATAGAGCAGGTTTCAGACTCGTGACTGTGGGCACCATCATGCTCTCTGAGCTTCGCTGGTTTCATGCAGACGTTTTATGACCCAACTAAGTAACGTCATCAGTGTTGAAGGGAATAAGGCCTGTGGAATGGAGGAGGAGGAGGAGGAGGAGGAGGAGGAGGACTGAGGGGCCCTAGGTGCTCTCTGAGCTTGGTGGTTTTCCTGAAGACATTTCATGACCCAGCTAGGGAACATCATCAGTGCTAGGAGGGATGGGGGTTTGCAGAGTAGTGGAGCTGTTTACTGTTGGCTTATCAACAACGGCCAAACAAGCCAACAGTAAACAGCCAAGAACAGGGTTGTTGTGATGGGCAAAAAGAGAAGGAGGAACATGTATTGAGTCTGTCTGTTGCCAGTTAAGGAAGATATTTCATAAATAAATGAAATAAACTTTGGGGTTCCCGGCTGGGGTCCTGAGCCTGGATGTCCTGATTGAAGTGATTTCCTCCCCTCTTCCCCTTCCTCCTCCTCTTCCTCTTCTCTTCTTCCTTCTCCTCCTCTTCCTCCTCCCCTCCTCCTCCTTCCTCCTCCTCCTCTTCTCTCCGCCTCCTCTTCCTCCCCTCCTTCTCCTTCCTCCTTCTCTCTCGTTCCTCCTCCTCTTCCTCCTTCTTTTCTCTTCTTCTCCCTCCTCCCCGTCCCCCGTCCTCCTCCTCTTCTCTTCCTCCTCCTCTTTTCTTCTTCTTCCTTCTCCCCCTCTTCCTCCTTCCTCCTTCTCTCTCGTTCCTCCTCCTCTTCCTCCTTCTTTTCTCTTCTTCTCCCTCCTCCCCCGTCCCCCGTCCTCCTCCTCTTCTCTTCCTCCTCCTCTTTTCTTCTTCTTCCTCCTCCCCTCTTCCTCCTTCTCCTTCTCTCTCGTTCCTCCTCCTCTTCCTCCTCCTTTTCTCTTCTCCCTCCTCCCCTCCTTCTTCCTTTCCTCCTCTCTTGTTCCTCCTCTTCTCTTCCCCCTCCTCCTCTTTCTTCCTCCTCCTCTCTCGTTCCTCTTCCTCTTCCTCCTCTTCTCTTCCTCCTCCTCCTCCCCCTCCTCTCTCGTTCCTCCTCTTCCTCCTCCTCGTTCTTCCTCCTCCTCCTCCCCCTTCCTCCTCCTCGTTCTTCCCTCTCCTTTCTCCACCTCCCCTTCTTCTCCTCCTCTTCCTCCAGATGACTTCATGAAGCAGAGCCGGGGGATGCTGCTGCTGTACACCCTGAAGAACCCCTCTTTCCCGAGTACGTCTTTGCCAGCGAGAGCGGCATCATGTGCCTTGACATCCACGTGGAACACCCCTACCTGATTGTGGTGGGCTTCTACGACGGCAACGTGGCCATCTACAACCTGAAGAAACCCACGGCCACCCAGCCAGGCTACAAAAGCAGCAAGTTGTCTGGGAAGCACACCGACCCCGTCTGGCAGGTGAGGACTCCCTCCTCCCTCCTCTGCCTCTCCGGGCCCAGGTCTTCACGGAGAACTGAGTGGATCGGCAGAATCTCAGGTGTGATAGAAGAGAATCTTTGGGGTTCAAGGCCTGGAGTCCTTGGCGCTCTCTAGGTTGTTATTTGCAGACGTTTCATGACCTGACTAGGGGACGTCATCAGTGCATCTAAAAGGCATTGAGGATGTTAACTGGGTAACATCAGCAGCGTTAGAAGGGAGGGGGGTTTGTGGAGAGGAGGAGGAGGAGGAGGAGGGGTCCTTGGTCCTCTCTGAGCTTGGTGGTTTCTTTTCAGACGATTCATTGTCCAAAGGTTGACTCAGCCTTCCATCCTTTCTAAGGTAGGTGAAATGAGGACCCAGTTTGTGGGGCAATAAGCTGACTTTGTATAAATATACAAAAGAATGAAGGCTATTGCTGAGCACATTGTAAGCCGCCCTGAGTCTCCGGGGAAGGGCGGCATATAAATCAAATTTTTTAAAAAACCAAAAAAAAACAAACCTAGGGATCATCATCAGAGGGGTTGTGTGGAGTGGAAGAAGGGGAGGAGAAGGAGGAAGAGGAAGAGGAAGAGGAGGAGCATTTGGGGGGTCTTGGTGCTCTCTGAGCTTAGTTGTTTCCCTTCAGACGTTTAATTACCCAACTAGGTAATATCATCCATGCCAGAAGAAAAGGGTTGTGTGGACGGGGAGGGGGAGGAGGAGAAGTGCTGTGGGGTCATTGATGCTCTTTGAGCTTAGTTTTCTTGCAGACATTTCATAACCTAGTCCAACCCCGCTGCTCAAGCAGGAGACCATTATACCATTTCAGACAAATGGTTGTCCAATCTCTTCTTGAAAACCTCCAGTGATGGAGCACCCACAACTTCTGAAGGGCTTCCTGGGGCTGCATCTGGAGGTGACAAGGGCAGGGGGGATTATGAGCAGAGCCTCCCAATCTAGGAATGGGCAGAACTGGTGCACAACTCAAAGTTCTGTGTGTGAATGCTGTTGTGTTCTCTCTGTTTGTTTTAACGAAGACTTTGCAGCAGAGGTGAAATGCTCCCGGTTCAGACCGGATCGCCCGATCCGGTAGCGATGGTCAGATCGTCAGAGGCTTTTCAAAGCATTTTTTTCTGCAATCTCTTGGCTGAAGAGGTGGTTTAAAAAGTGCTTTGAAAAGTCTCTGACGATCCCAGCTGAGTTGCCTGATCGGCAGAGGCTTTTCAAAGCATTAGAAAAAAAATGCTTTGAAAAGTTTAAAAAAAAAAATTGGCCACGCCCACCCAGTCACATTACCACCACCACCGCCACCAAGCCACGCCCACAGAACCGGTAGTAACACATTTTCCATTTCACCGCTGCTTTGCAGCCCAGCTTGTGAACCACGTCCATCGTTGACCAAACAGGGAAATGGATTTCATCTCTTAAATCATTTGGATAATTAATTTTGGAAGCAGAGACTGAGCTTTTTGGTCCCGGAGCTTCGATTTTTAAAATGAGATGCTAAAATGAGAATATATGGGCAGCTTTCAAGAAAATGGATGGGGCTTAAAGAGCCCGATTTATTATTCAGAATTGGGTAAGGTTCCATTAACTTGATTTTCGGGAAATACAACTGACTGAAAAAAACTAGGACTGGTTGTGGGTTGCATGTTTATTATGAGAGAAACTCTGGACTTCTTGGAAAAAGCCCTTTTCTCAATCTAGATAATCACAGAGAAATAGATTCTGCCATTTATTTGCCTCCTGTTTTCAAAGAAAATTTTGACGGAAGGCAGAAGATTCTCAGTTTAATACTTATGATGTTACCTAGTTGGGTAGTGAAAATTCTGCAAGGAAACAGCTAAGCTCAGAGAGCACCAAGGACCCCACAGTCAGGGGTGAAATCAGCAGGTTCTGGAGAACCGGCAGCGGAAATTTTGAGTAGTTCGGAGAACCGGCAAATACCACCTCTGGCTGGTCCCAGAGCGGGGTGGGAATGGAGATTTTGCAGTATCCTTCTGCTGCCATGCCCACCACGCCACACCCACAGAACCGGTAGTAAAAAAAATTGGATTTCACCACTGCCCACAGTCCAGAGGTGGGTTTCAGCAGGTTCTGACCAGTTCTGGAGAAACCGGTAGCGGAAATTTTGAGTAGTTCACAGAACCGGTAGTAAAAATTCTGACTGGTTCCGCCCCCCCCTCTATTCTCTGCCTCCCAAGTCCCAGCTGATCGGGAAGAAATGGGGATTTTGCAGTAACCTGCCCCTGCCACGCCCACCAAGCCATGCCCACAGAACCGGTAGTAAAAAAAATTGGATTTCACCACTGCCCACAATCCTCCTCCTCCCTGCAAACCCTCATTCCCTTCTAACACTGATTATGTTACCTAGTTGGGTTATGAAATGTCTGCAAGAAAACTAAGCTCAAAGAGCATCAATGACCCCACAGCACTTCTCCTCCTCCCCCTCCCGTCCACACAACCCTTTTCTTCTGGCATGGATGATATTACCTAGTTGGGTAATTAAACGTCTGAAGGGAAACAACTAAGCTCAGAGAGCACCAAGACCCCCCAAATGCTCCTCCTCTTCCTCTTCCCTTTCCTCCTTCTCCTCCCCTTCTTCCACTCCACACAACCCCTCTGATGATGATCCCTAGGTTTTTTTTTTTTTGGTTTTTTTTAAAATTTGATTTATATGCCGCCCTTCCCGGGAGACTCAGGGCGGCTTACAATGCGTTAAGCAATAGCCTTCATACTTTTGTATATTTATACAAAGTCAGCTTATTGCCCCCACAAACTGGGTCCTCATTTCACCTACCTTAGAAAGGATGGAAGGCTGAGTCAACCTTGAGCCTGGTGAGAATTGAACCTGCAGTAATTGCAGGCAGCTGAATGTTAATAACAGGGTGCTTTAGACCACTGTACTACCAAGTTTACCCGTACTTGCTTGGGAAAGCCACAGCTGCTTTTCAATATCAGATTTCTTCTTTCACCCCCCAGGTGAAGTGGCAGAAGGACGATATGGACAACAATTTGAATTTCTTCTCGGTCTCTTCCGATGGCCGCATTGTCTCCTGGACGTTGGTTAAGGTAAGGAAGGACTCTCGAATCGGAATAGAGCTGGAAAGGGACCTTGGAGGTCTTCTAGTCCAGCCCCCTGCTCAAGCAGGAGACCCTATGCCATTTCAGACAAGTGGTTGTCCAGTCTCTTCTTAAAAACTTCCAGTGATGGAGCATCCACAACTTCTGGTGGCAAGCCATTCCACTGGTTAATTGTCCTCACTGTTAGGAAGTTTCTCTTTAATTCCAGGTTGCTTCTCTCTTTGTTTAATTTCCATCCATTATTTCTTTTCTTGCCTTCAGATGCTTTTTTTTAAAATTTGATTTATATGCCGCCCTTCTTTGGAGAATAGCTTGATTTCTCCCCCCCCCGACTTCTTTGTGGCAGTCCCTCAAATACTGGAAGACTGCTATCCTTGTCACCCTTAATTCTTCTTTTCTCTAGACTAGCCAAACCCAAATCCTGCAGACGTTTTTTGTATGTTTTAGTCTCCAGGCCTTTAATCATCTTAGTTACTCTTCTCTGCAGTTTTTCCAAAGTCTCAGCATCTTTTTTGTAATGTGGTGGCCAAAACTGGATGCAGGATTTCAGGTGTAGCCTTACTAAAGATTTATGAAGCGGTACTAATACTTCACATCATTTTGATTGTATGCCTCTGTCTATACAACCAAGGATTGTATTAGCTTTTTTGGTGCTGCCGCACATGGCTGGCTCATATTTAAGGATCGTCCACTGGGACTCCAAGGTTCCTCTCCCAGTTTTGGAGCCAGACTCCCCCTAAGTTGACCTTGTGTAGTTTTGGCCTTGACCAAGGATGCTAACAATGGCTTCTTCTGTCCCTCTTGGGATGCAAAGCTGTATGGACCATGAGGCTTGTTAAGTAGCCACAGTTGTGCTAAGCTAGAACCTGACAAGAAAATTAGCCTGTGAGCCAGACCATATACTGTAATAATTTACCAAATACATTCATTTCTCGGCGAGGACTTCAACGTACCTAAAACCCAGGGTGCTATTGAGCAGGTTCTGAGAGGTTCTGGAGAACCGGTAGCGGAAATTTTGAGCAGTTCGGAGAACCGGCAAATACCACCTCTGGCTGGCACCAGAATGGGGTGGGAATGGAGATTTTGCAATATCCTTCCCCTGGAGTGGGGAGGGAATGGGTATCCTTCCCCTGCCACGCCCACCAAGCCAAACCCACCAAGCCACACCATGCCAACCAAGCCATGCCCACAGAACCAGTAGTAAAAAAATTTGAATTTCAGCATTGCTAAAACCAAATGCTATTTTGGCATTTCTTGTTAATACTGCGATCCTTTTTTTTTTTTAAAAAAAGTAGTTTATTAAAATATTTATTAATACAGAAATGAAAAAGAAAAGAGTAGGGAAATAAGGGGGAAAAGGAAAATGGAAAAGCATGGGGCAAAAGGAATTATATCTTGCAAAAGGAAGGAAGGAAGGAAGGAAGGAAAAAGAAAGAAAGAAAGAAGGAAAGGAAGGAAGGAAAGAAAGAAAGAAAAAGAAAGAAAGGTAGGAAGGAAGGAAAGAAAGACAAAGAAAGAGAAGGAAAGGAAGAAAGGAAGGAAAGAAAGAAAGAAAGAGAGAAAGAAAGAAAGAAAGAAAGAAAGAAAGAAAGAGAAAGGAAAGAAAAAAAGAAAGAAAGAAAAAGAAAGAAAGAAAAGGCATTAACTTTCCAAGTCCCTTTGGTGCAGTAGAATAAGATAATTATAGCATCAAACCTCAACTTTTTACTTTTACGTAATAATAAAAACTAGCCATTTCTTTTTTTTAAAAATATACTTTATTGAGTTTTATATACATACAAAAGAAATCTCATTTCTATTAACATTGGATGTGCAGTGTTTATACATATATACATAGAATATATCTGGTGTCACTTAAGCTATTTGTTGCTATTTATTTGACGCACCGTATACTCCTGCTTTAATTCTATCATTCATCCATTCATACCACCTTTCCCACACAGTATAATACTCTGAGTTCTCATCATTGTTTATTTCATACGTTAATTTACTCATCTCTGCGCACTCCAGTATTTTCTTAATTGTAAGATCTTCTGGTGGCAGGGTTTTCTCTTTCCAGAATTGTGCATAGGCCAGTCTAGCAGCTGTGGTTATATGTATTATCAGGTGAATCTTTTTCTTTCCATACCCCTTCTTTACTATTCCCAGGAGAAATATTTCCGGTGTCAATTCTATATCTTCTCCAATTATTTCCTGTAGCCATCTCCAAATTCTGTTCCAGTATCTTTTCGCTTCGGGGCATGTCCACCACATGTGATAGAAGGTGCCCTGACCATAGCCACATTTCCAGCAATTTGGGTGCATATTGGGGAACATCTTGGCTAGTCTGGCAGATGCTAGATACCACCTGTGGAGCATTTTATACTGATTCTCCTTATACGTCGCAGCTCTGGTCAATTTGTAGTTTTTATTCCAAGCCTCTTCCCATTCATTAAAATTTAAACTACGTCCTATGTTTTTTTCCCATGCTCTCAATTGGTTTTTAGCTGTCTCTTCATCTCTGTCCTCATCTAGTAAGTAGTTGTATAGTTTAGCCAAAACTTTTTTCCCCGTTCCCATCAAGATTTTGTCTAGTCCATTGTATCCTAATTCTAAGCCATATTCTTCCTTATCTTTCTGATATCTTGATTTTATTTGTAGATAGGTCCACCAATCTAAATTTATACCTTGGTCTCTCAGGGTGTCATTTGATTTAAGATTTCCTCCTCCATCTAATATATCTTTATATCTGCACATTTTCTCCATTCCCCACCTGTTTGGATAAATCAAAGCCTCCATCATGGAGGGCCATTTGGGGACTTTAGTATAATATCGCTGCCTAATTCCAATCCATGTTTGTATTAAGGACTCCCTAATTTTATGTCTATGGAAATATGTTTTCTTTTTCTTCTCTGTGTCCCACAAGTATGCGTGCCACCCTTTCTGTAGATCGTGGCCTTCTAAGGTTAGGATTCTCTTATTTTCCAGTGTGGCCCACTCCCTAATCTATACTATCTTGGCTGCCCTATAATATGTTTCCCAATTGGGGAGTCCAAAGCCTCCCATATTCCTTTTTCCCTGTAAAATTTTAAGTGAAATCCTCAGCTTTTTCCCATCCCGTAAAAATTCCCTGATGTTTTTGTTTAATTCTGAAAGAGTTTTTTTGTCTAAGATCACTGGTATGTTTTGATATAAGAATAGAATTTTGGGAAGGATATTCATCTTGATCGCGGCTATCTTGCCTATAAGTGACAATTTAATTTTCTTCCATCTGTCCAAATCTTGTTTCACTTTTTTAATTAAGGGGGTATAATTATCTTCCTTTAGGGATGAGCATCTTATAGTTATCCAAATTCCTAGGTATTTTATTTTTTTGACAACCTGTAATCCCAGCGTTTCTTCTATCTCTTCTGTTCCTCAGTTACATTCTTAGTTAATATTTTGGTTTTAGTTTTATTCAATTTGAAGCCTGCCACCTCTCCAAATTTGCCCAATTCCTCTAATATTTTTTGTCCGGATTCTAATGGGTCTTCTAGTATTAGGGCGACATCGTCCGCAAATGCTTGCGTTTTGTAAACTTCTTTCCTAATCTTTAGGCCTTTAATTTCTTCATTATTTCTAATTTTTCGTAGTAGGACTTCTAGAGCCAAAATGAATAATAGCGGTGATAGGGGGCATCCTTGCTAATCTGAAATGTTCTTGTCCTGTCGCCATTTACTAAAATGCTTGCCCTGTGGTTATCATAGATGGTTTCTATCATTTTTTCAAAATTTGTTCCAAATCCCATTATTTTAATTTGCTTGGTCATAAAATTCCAGTTCAAATTATCGAACTCCTTTTGGGCATCCAAAAAAATTAGAGCCATCTGCTTTTCCGGATGCTCTTCGTAATATTCTAGAGTGTTCAACACAATTCTCAAATTGTCCCTAATTTGCCACCTCGGGAGGAATCCGTTTTGATCTTTGTGTATCCAGGCGTTTAGTATTTTTTAAATTCTTTCCGCCATTATGCTCATGAATAATTTGTAATCAGTGTTTAGAAGGAAAATTGGCCTGTAATTTTGAATTTGTTTTAGGTCGGCACCTTCTTTCGGTAAAAGTGTGACATGCGCTTCCTTCCACGTGTCTGGGATTTTTGCACCCATCAGGGCCTCATTGAAAATTTCCACTAATTTTGGTTGTAATGTTTCTTCCAATTTTTTATATATTTCCCCTGGGAATCCATCCGGGCCTGGCGATTTATTGTTTTTGATTTTGGAGAGGGCTGTTTTAAGTTCTTCCATTGTTATTTTTCCGTTAAGCATTTCCCTCTCTTCCTCCGTTATTTGTGGAAGCTCAGCATTTGCCAGGTATTGCTCTACTTTTTCTTCTGGGACCACCTCCTTCTTTGTAAAGGGCTTCATAAGTATTCCCTTGCTCTTTCTAATTTATCTTCTTCTTTATTTAAAGGGTTGCCCTTTGCATCTTCTAATACATAGATTTGCCCTTTTTCGTTTTCCTTTTTTAATTTATAAGCCAGCCACCTTCTCGACTTGTTGGCGTTCTCAAAGTAGTATTGTTTTGTTCTTTTTATTTTTTGTGCTAACTCCTCTTGATCTAAGATATTCAATTTATGCCTCCACATCAGCCAATTTTGTTTTGCTACTAAAAACTAGCCATTTCTATAACAATAAACCTATCTAATCAGTAAAACCCAAAATCAAAATGTCCTTTTTTCCCCCCACCTCAAGCACAAAGTCCAGAAGCGGTTTCCAAAGAGAAACAAAAGTAATTGTATTTTTTTCTTTGATCAAAGCCTTCTCTGCGAACTCCATCAACTTTTGCAACCGTTCATCCAATGTAGGAGTCAAAGTGCCCTTCCGTTTTTGTGCGTAAAGGTCTTGCTGTCGTCAACATATATAACCGCTTCCCAAATTCATACTCCAATCCTGTTTGCATTTACCTGAGAGTAAAGCCCATTGAATGGAAGGCGAGGCCTGTGGTTTAGTAAATCTGACTTCCCCATTGACTTTCTGTTAGAACAGGGGTCAGCAACCTGCGGCTCTGGAGCCGCATGTGGCTCTTTCACCCCTCTGCTGCGGCTCCCTGTCACTCAAAATATGCATCACAACCGCCAATGTGTGACACCCGCCGGCACGCGATTTACTGAGCTTTTCAACCCCCCGATAGGCCAACCATGGATAAATCCAAGACAAGAAAAGTTTCAGAAGAAAACACAACATTTAATTCAACTACATCTGCTAATTTTGTGGCCGCTCAAGAAATAGTCAGGCACGGGAAGGGTTTTGTGGCTCCCGGTGTTTCCTTTTCTGTGGGAAACGGGTCCAAATGGCTCTTTGAGTGCTTAAGGTTGCAGACCCCTGTCTTAGAATGGAATGAACTGGAAGGGACCTTGGAGGTCTTCTAGTCCAGCCCACTGGCTCAAGCAAGAGAACCTATATTATTTCAGATAAGTGACTATCTAGACTCTTCTTAAAAACATCCAGTGATGGAGTGCCCATGATTTCTGGTGGCAAGCTGTTCCAATGGTTAATTGCTTGTCAGAAGGCCACAAAATGGCATCACATGACCCTGGGAAACATGGCAACTGTCATAAGTACATACCAGTTGCTAAACATTTGAATTTGGACCCCATGACCCTGGGAATGCTGAAACAGTCTTTTAAGTGTGAAAAATGGTCATTAGATTCATTTTTTTCAGGGGCCTTGTAACTTTGAACAGTTACTATATGAACTGTTGTAAGTCAGGGACCACATGTATTATCAGCTGCAGTTCTGTCTGCCTTCACAAGCAGGGGGCTGGACTAGAAGACCTCCAGGGTCCCTTCCAGCTCATTCTATTCTGAGTATTGCATGATTCCCCCTACAGCACTTCTTTCGGCTGCCGGCAGATTCATGGATCCAGTTGCAGACTTTTATATACATAGAATAAATTAGAATAGTATTCTTTATTTGACCAAGTGTGATTGGACACACAAGGAATTTGTCTTGGTACATACGCTCTCGGTGTACATAAAAGAAAAGATACATTCGTCAAGAATCATAAGGTACAACACTTAATGATAGTCATAGGGTACAAATAAGGAAGGAAGGAAGGAAGGAAGGAGAGAAAAGGAAGGGAGGGAGGGAGGGAAGGAGGAAGGATGGAGAGAAAAGGAAGGAAGAGAGGGAGGAAGGAAGGAAGGAAGCAATCAGGAAACAATATCAATTTAAATCATAAGGATACAAGCAACAAAATTACAGTCATACAGTCGTAAGTGGGAGGAGATGGGTGATGGGAACGATGAGAAAATTAATAATAGTGCAGACTTAGTGAATAGTTTGACAGTGTTGAGGGAATTATTTGTTTAGCAGAGTGATGGCGTTGGGGAAAAAACTGTCCTTGTGTCTAGTTGTTCTGGTGTGCAGTGCTCTATAGCCTCGTTTTGAGGGTAGGAGTTGAAACACTTTAAGTCCGGGATGCGAGGGGTCTGTAAATATTTTCACAGCCCTCTTTTTGACTCAGCAGTATACAGGTCCTCAGTGGAAGGCAGGTTGGTAGCCATGGTTTTTTCTGCAGTTCTAATGATCCTCTGAAGTCCGTGTCTGTCTTGTTGGGTTGCAGAGACAAACCAGACAGTTATGGAGGTGCAGATGAAAGACTCAATAATTCCTTTGTCGAACTGGATCAGCAGCTCCTTGGGCAGTCGTCCTTCCTTTTTCTGCCTTGCTCTTTGTTCAACTTTGTTCAACTTCTCCCCCAAATCCCCCGTTGTGCAAAACCTATTCAGATCCCCGAAGCCGTTTCCCAAAAATAAAGATATTGGGACTTTGTTCTTGAAACGAGAGAGCCGAGCTGTGCTTTGTTGGGAAGTTTTCACGGGGAGTGAAGTGAACCTATAATTGCTGTTTTCCATTCCTCCTCTTCAAGACTTTTAAACCCCAACAAAGGGAAAGATAACAATTCATAAGACGAGAGATCCGTGCAGAGTTGGCTCAGCCAACCCACAAGTCTAGACCATCGCTCTGGCTAAAATGAAGGGAATTGTAGCCCTTTGGGGGTATTTTATATATATATATATATTTGGCTGACTTCCTGCCGCGCTAAGCCATAGCTTGTTTAATCGTTAATGCCGTGAAGCTCAGTTGGCTTGGATCCCGTATCCCTGATCTGTAAGCCATGCGGAACAAATTATGCTAAGCCGAAACCGACCAAGCGACATCTCGAGAGCACATCTGCTTCCAACCCTGACACTCTCCAGATCGGCAGTGTTTGAACGAAGATTTTTCTATTTGTTCTGTGACTACGAATCCTTTACTGGAGTCATAAGTGTCTTTAGAAGCCAATTCGGTCTAGTGGTTAGGGCACCAGGTTAGAAAGCAGGTTAGACACTTAGTCCCACTTCAGGCATGAAAGCTGGAGAGGTGACTTTGGGCCAATCACCAGGAGACTGTGAGTTCTAGTCACAGGCTGGCTTGATCCCATCCTCTCAGTTTTAATTGAATTCGGTTTTAATTGGGTTGTTTTAAATCTTGGGCCGAAATTATTTAATTGTTTTTTAAACTGTTTTTAAATTTTATATGCGATGTTTTATCTCGGCTGTACACCACCCTGAGTCCCGCAGGAGAAGGGCGGTATAGAAATAAAATAAATAAAATAAAATAAAATAAAATAAAATAAAATAATAAAATAAAATAAAATAAAATAAAATAAAATAAAATAAAATAAAATAAAATAAAATAAAATAATAAAATAAATAAATAGTCCCACCTTACCAATGAAATCTGGCTGGGTGACTTGGGGCCAATCACTAGGAGACTGTGAGTTCTAGTCCCGTCTTAGCCATGAAAGTCGGCTGGGTGACTTTGGGCCAATCACCAGGAGACTGTGAGTTCTAGTCCCGTCTTAACCATGAAAGCCAGCTGGGTGACTTTGGACCAATCACCAGGAGACTGTGAGTTCTAGTCCCGTCTTAACCATGAAAGCCGGCTGGGTGACTTTGGGCCAATCACTAGGAGACTGTGAATTCTAGTCCCGTCTTAGCTATGAAAGTCGGCTGGGTGACTTTGGACCAATCACCAGGAGACAGGGAGCTCTAGTCCTAGACGCGTCCAACTTTGGCAACTTTAAGACTTGTGAACTTCAGGTCCCAGAATTCCCCAGCCATCAGGGAATTCAGGCCTTACCAAGGGATCCTTGGTGCTCTCTGAACTTGATTGTTTTCTTGCAGACATTTCATGACTCAACTAGGTAACATCATCAGTGCTAGAAGGGTTTGTGGAGAGAAGGAGGAAAGTGGGGTCCTTGGTGCTCTCTGAGCTTGGTTGTTTCGTTGCAGACTTTTCATTATCCAACTAGGGAACATCATCAGTGCTAGAAGGGAGAGGGGTTTGCTGTCTGTTCATATACCAATGGTTTACTCTGTCGTAGGGAATGGTAAACGAGCCAAAACCAAGCCTTACTCCCTTCTAGCAATGATGATGTCGCCTAGTTGGGCAATGCAAACTGGCTGGGGAATTCTGGGACTTGAAGTCCACAAGTCTTATAGTTTGGACACCCCTGACCTAGATGGGTGTCTGATAGGACACCATGGAAACATGTGTAATGTTCTCATTATCACCGTCCTTCCATAAGTTATTGGATAGAAAGGTCGGCAGTTCGGCGGTTCGAATCCCTAGTATAGGTCTCCTGCGTGAGCAGGGGGTTGGACTAGATGACCTCCAAGGTCCCTTCCAACTCTGTTACTGTCATACCTTCATGAAGTGTTTGGCACTTTCCTCCCCTTCCTTGCTTTTTAATCCCTCCGAAAATGTTCCATTTCAAAGCTTTTTCTCGTTGACGTCAGGCTGCCAACATGGCTCCGATCTTTCTTCTCCCAACAGAACGAGCTGGTCCACACAGACATCATCAAGCTGCTGGTTGAAGGAACTACGGTGGAAGGACCGGAGGGGCTGCAGCTGGACACCATTGGTACGGCCTCCAGTTGAAGGAAAACCTTGATGGCTCAGGGATGAACTGTGGGCTCCTTGGTGCTCTCTGAGCTGGGTAGTTTTCCTGTAGACGTTTCATGGGCCAACTAGGTAATGTCATCAGTGCTAGAAGGGAAGGGGGATTTCTGGAGAGGAGAAAGAGGAGGAGGAGGACGAGAAAGACTCTGGGATCTTTGACGCTCTCTGAATTTAGTGGGGTTTTTTTGTAGACATTTTATTACCCAAGTAGGTAACAACATCAGTGCTAGAAGAGAGGGAGGATTGTGGTGAGGAGGAGCAGGAGCAGGAGGAGTACCACGAATCCCACAGTTCCCCCCCTTCCTTCTCCTCCTCCTCCTCTCTGCAGACACCACTCCCTTGTAGCACTGATGATGTTACCTAGTTGGGTCATGAAACGTCTGCAAGGAAACACCAAAGCTCAGAGAGCAGCAAGGACCACAGTCCTCCCCGCCCCCCAACTCCTCCTCCTCCCTTCAAAACAGGGCTGAAATTCAGCCGGTTCTATACGGCTCGGGCGAACCGCTAGCGGCGGCTGCGGGAGGCTTCGCCCACTCGTGCGGATATCATGACGTCGCTTTTTGCAACGATTTTAAGCCTCTGCTCATGCGCAGTTGACGGCGGGTGTGAGTGAAGCGAGTGCACACACAGTGTGCACACATTTGCGAACTGGTAGGGAAGGTAAGTGAATTTCACCCCTGCTTCAAACCCAACTCCCTTCTAGCCCTGATGCTGTTCCCTAGTTGGGTGATGTAACATCTGCAAAAAAACCAGCCAAGCTCAAAGAGGCCACCGGTCTTGATCCCATCTGAATTTCCCTTCATTTTCTTACATTATCTGCACCATAAGCAGTAATTCTAGACAGGACTCCTTGGGAGTAAGCACTGTTAGCAAGATCCCATGTCAGTACATGGTAGATAAAGAGCCTTGGTGGCGCAGCAGACTAAAGTGCTGTTAAGTAGCACCAGCTGCCAGCAATTACTGCGAGTTCAAATCTCACCAGGCTCAAGGTTGACTGAGCCTTCCATCCTTTTGAGGTAGGTAAAATGAGGACCCGGATTGTGGGGGCAATAAGCTGACTTTGTATAAAAAAGAACACCGCTTAGGGGGGCCTGAAAACCCTACTAAGCAGGTATATACAAAAGTATGAAGGCTGTTGCTTAATGCATTGTAAGCCGCCCTGAGTCTCCGGAGGAGGGCGGCATATAAATCGAACCAATAAATAAATAAATAAATAAATAAAATTCTAGTGAGCAGTGAGGAGGAAACGGAAACAGCCTCTCCTGGTTGGAAGGTCTTCAAACGAGCCAAAGGATCGTTTCTGGAGTCTCTCACAATGACTTCACCTCGATGCAGTTCCCTTCCATCACATGAAGCAGCCTCTGTAGCTGGTGAATGAAGAATTCGACAGCTGGCCTTTGGAAATCGTGGGCTCTCCATCACTGGAAGTTTTTAAGAAGAGACTGGTATAGGGTTTCCTGCTTGAGCAGAGGGCAGGACTAGAAGACCTCCAGGGTCCCTTCTAGCTCATGTCTAGTCTGGAATGGAATGGAATGAAATGGGATGGAATGGAATAGAATAGAAATAGAAATAGAAATAGAAATAGAAATAGAAATAATAGAAATAGAAATAGGAAATAAGAGTGGAGTGGAATAGAATAGAATAGAATAGAATAGAATAGAATAGAATAGAATAGAATAGAATAGAATAGAATAGAATAGAATAGAATAGAATAATAGAATAGAATAGAATAAGGGAATGGAATGGAATGAATGGAATGGAATGGAATAGAATAGAATAGAATGAGAGAAGTAGAATAGAGTGGAGTGGAGTGGAATAGAACAGAATAGAATAGAATATAGGAATAGAATAAATAGGAATAGAATAGAATTATAGAAGAGATTATAGAATAGAATATGGGAATAGAATAGAAAAATAATAGAATAGAATATAGGAATAGAATAGAGTAGAATATAGGAATAGAATAATAATAGAATAGAGTAGAACAGTGATGGCTAACCTTTTTTCCTCGAGTGTCAAAAGAGTGTGCGATAGTGCTTCCATGTGTGCTCACACCCATTATACAATGCCCCACACACACGCCCCCCCCCCGCCATCACAGGAATAGAATAGAATAGAATAGAATAGAATAGAACAGAACAGAACAGAACAGAACAGAACAGAACAGAACAGAACAGAATAGAATGAGAGAAGTAGAATAGAGTGGAATGGAATGGAATGGAATAGAATAGAATAGGTCCTCTTCCCTTCCCTTCCCTTCCCTTCCCTTCCATTCTATTTATTCTGGCTCAAGAAATGTGTCTCTTTTTGGTTTGGGGAAATCCCTGAGCAAATTCCCACGAAAATAAAAATGGAACTAAAGGCTGAGCGACGTCCCCATGTGGTTGACCATCTTCTTACACATTGCTGGTGGGCGGTGGTAGAGGCAGGGTGGACAGACAAACAGCTGGTTCCCTGGGAGACGTGGCCCTCCTGCAATTGGATGTTTCCATGCCTTAGCTCGAAAGAACCCTGTATATTTTTTGCTTAAGCAAATGCCTCATGTCGATCAAAGCCCAGATGAAATAGGTCCCCAAATATTTTGCTGCCTTATTTGTATTTTTTCTCGGTTTGCCAAACAGGTTGTGGGACGTCCTTTGACTTTCACAAGAAGATCGATTATCTCTTCCTGGTGGGTACCGAGGAAGGCAAAATCTACAAGGTAAGAGAGGCTTTCTCGTAAAACCAGGTTGTGTTTTGTGGTCACAGAGCACAGGTGGCCTCCTTCCCTGTCAAGAAAAACGTCTCAGGCATCTATGAGCCTCACCTAAATAGAGCAAGTGTATACCTCCCAACAGGTGGGAGGTGCTAGAAAAATTGTGAATGCATTACGCTGGCGGATTTGGGAAGGGGTGGTCTTAAGGCTCGGGACTGATTGATGATACCAGAGGACTGAATACAATACGTTTGTTGTGGCCTGTCGGCCGCCAGCCCCTCCAGCAGCCGAATCGGAGGAGGAAGAGGAAGAGGCATGGGAGTCAGAGTCAGCATCAGGGCAACCTGGGAGCTCCGAGGGGGAAGAAGGAATGGAGTTGGCAGAGAGAAAGAGACAGAGGCGGAGCCTGGGCCGTCCATCAGCCCTCAGATGGAGAGTCAACAGCCCCTAGGTCTGGAGCAGCAGTGAAATCTGCCCGGATCTATCTGGCTCATGTGAATCGGTAGTGCCGGTGGCGGGAGGCTCTGCCCACCCGCCGGGACGTCATTATGTCCCGTTTTTGACTCTCTGTGCATGTGCAGAAGAGGTGCGCGTGGTCACATTCCCGAACCGGTAGCGAAGGTAAGTGCATTTCACCGCTGGTCTGGAGGTAGCTGATGAGGAAGAGGAGGAACAGCTGGGTCCAGTGCCTGATGCGTGGATGCATAGAAGCCAGAGGAGAGGAGAGCAGTGGAAATCTATGGGCCGGTCCTTGGGAATGAAGAGCCACCGCTGCTAGTGAAGCCCCACCCAAGCTCTGGGGATAAAAGGCAGGGGGTGGAGATGAATTGATGTGGCAGACAATTATTCATCTCCCTGCCGGACGGACTTGTTAGCCTGCGGTGAGAGAGAAACTTTTTGCCGGGGCTGCCGGCGCTCCTAATAAAGGAATCTTTGCTTCAGCTACAGAGGGTTTGTTGTGTTTGGGGAGTTGAGTCAGAACAACGTTAACCTTTAATTATGGCATCCTTCTTGGGAAGATCTAATCTTCACCATCTTTACTTTTTGTGAATCATTTTGGAAATATTCTTGGACCACCGTTGCCAACTTAAGCCTCCAGCCAACTTATTATGGTTTGTGACACAGTCAGCCAGGTGTTTAGACTGGATTTGGCATTTTTGTCTACCTGTTGAGTCCTTTCAAAGGATCTGAAGGGAGGCAGATGTTGCTATATGAAGTTGTTCAAGGTATCCTCTTAGAATGTAGGCTGTTCCTAGCAAAGCTGCCTTTTGCAATTGATTTCGTTAATGGTGATGTTGTTATTGTTAAATATTTTGTGGCATCCAGAGTCCTGGGACTGGTGCGAGTTAAGAATTGTTGCCTTCCCTCCTCTCCCCTCTCCCTCTTCTTCCTTTTTCTTGGCAATGTTGTGGCTCCGTTGCCTGAGCCTGGGCTATCGACAGATGCAGACTCTGAGAGTGAGGGAGAGGAGTTGGCAAGTCCTCCCTCTCCAGGACCCTCCTCTCTGGCAATGCCTCCGGAGGACACCAAAGGCCAAACGATAGGCTCAGAGCCAAGCACGTCCCCGCAGCCAGAGGTGGACAGCGACGAAGAAGATAAGTACTGGCTGGACCCTCGGCAGAGGCGCAGGGAGAAGCGTGAGCAGCAGAGGGGAAGGCGTGCCAGAGATTAGCTGAGTCACTGGACCACACCCCACAGGGTATAAATGTGGGTGTGGTGGCCGGTTCAGTTTGTGACGAGCAAAAACTGGAAATAATCCATGATCTCTGCGTTACTGGACTTTGCCTGCTTTATCGGACTGCATTTGGATTAATCCTTGTATTGTTGAAACTCTGCCTGTTTTATCGGAATGCTTGCAGTCTAATCTTTGTTTTGTGTGAGTAAAGTCTGAATTGGCAGCTAGCCACTGGGTTGCTGCCAGCTTTATCTTCAAAGAGTTTTGTCGTGTGGCTTATTAACTCCGGGCCGTCTGTGGGGGTGCGTGTGTGGTACAGGGACAGAACAGGCAAGATTTTTGGAAGTGGTTTGCCATTGTCTTCCCTCCTAGGTCTCAAAATGAGTGACTGGCTCAAAGTCACCCAGCTGACCCCCTACCTCATGTCTAAAACCCACAGTCTCCCGGTTTCTAGGTTGATAGCAATAGGGAGTGGTGCGGTGGCCTAGAGGTAGAGCTCTCGCCTCGCAATCAGGAGGCTATGAGTTCGATCCTAGATAGAGGCAGATATTTCTTTCTCTGGGCACACTGAGAATATATCTGCTGAACAAAACTCCGCATTGGAGACAGGAAAGGCATCCGGCCAGTAAACACATTCAGTTGCCCAGACTCCACCCCACAAGGGATGGATTATGTGGTCGTTCAAAGGTGATGATGATGATGATGAATATAGCAATAGCATTTAGACTTATATACCTAAGGTGACCAGATTTTAACATTGGTAAAGAGGGACACCATTGTGGGCGTGGCTTATTTTGTGGGTGTGGCTTGGAGGTCATGTGACTGGGTAGGCATGGCTAGCTGGTCATGTGACCGGGTGGCCATGGCTATGTGTATAGGGACTACTCAGAGGGCTGAAAAAAGTCATTTCTGACAGGTCCTCGCACTTTTGACTGGTCCTCACACTTATGACCATCCTCATATTTATGCCCGTGCAGTATTCTTAATAACCATGTCACTCATTTCACAACTGCTTCTCTTCACCATGGTGATAAGATAGGGCAAAAAACGTAAAATGTGAGGACAGTCGTAAGTTCGAGGACAGGTCAAAAGTGCGAGGACCAGTCAAAAATAACTTTTTCAGCCCTCTGAGTAGTCCATATGCACAAAAGGACTAACCAGAGGGTTGAAAAAAGTCATTTCTGACAGGTCCTCGCACTTTTGACTGGTCCTCACACTTATGACCACCCTCACATTTATGCACGTGCAGCATTCTTAACAACCATGTCACTCATTTCACAACTGCTTCTCTTCACCATGGTGATAAGATAGGGCAAAAAATGTAAAATGTGAGGACAGTCGTAAGTTTGAGGACTGGTCAAAAGTGCGAGGACCAGTCAAAAATAACTTTTTCAGCCCTCTGAGTAATCCATATGCATAAAAGGCTACAGCAATAGAGAGGGATGAAGGAAGGGAAGGGAAATTAGAGTAGGAGTGAGGGTAAGAGAGGGAGGAAGAGAGGAGAAGGAGAAAGGAAGAGGAAGTAGGGAGGAGGAGAAGAAGAGGGTGGGGGGAAGAGAAAGTAAGAAGGAAAGAAAAGAGAGGTGGTAGGTTTGAGGAGAAAGATTGCTGTACAATAAAAAAGATGAAAGGGAAGAAAGCCAACCCCAAACAAATATAAAGATATTAAGATAAAGAATGAATTGTTAAACTTTAAAGAATAAAAGAGAACAAATATGAATAAATAGCAATAATTAGAAACACACATAAAAACTTACAATGTATTTTCTTTGAACAGAATATTTGGCCGGTTCACAAATTTAAACAGTGTTTAGTCATTTCAATTAAATTTACAATTTCTATATTTCCTTTTTACCATATTTATTCCTCATCTATTTTTCTAAAAAACCAATATTACCCTTCATCCTCATCTCTAATCTTAATCAAATTTGATTTTTCCCTTCTATTCTATATTATACCCCTTCCCATTGTCATCTATTTTTATATCCATCCTCACATTGGTTAATTATGTAATATTAGTTGTTTAATATAAATTCAACATTTTAATATAAATCAATTAGTTATATAACTACCTTTTTTTGTATATTAATCAATATGAACATGAATATTCCAATTATTTCCATGCAATCCAATTTCTTACAAATCCATTAATTATATTTACCAATAATAATAAACCAAATAATTTCCCCCATATATTCCTCCAAACCACAACTTAACCCTTTCTGCTTTGAACACAATATACAATTAATAGTATCTCAATTATTACAATTCCCTAGTTAAATAGAGCTTTTTTTCTTTTGTGTTTTAAAATCTTGAACTCTTCTCTTTTGCCCTAAATTTCCCATTGTTTCCACCTACCTTTTTTGGTGAGGAAAAAGAAAAGAAATCTGCTGCCTAATTTTCCAACGTTGCACCAAACAAGCCAACAGCCTGTTTCACTTTCAGTTTCGTTTTGAGCTTGGTTTGCACAAGGAGAAAAAAAAATCTGCGTGAGCAATTTAGCAAGCAGCAAGAGCCCTGCGCAAAACAGCTGAGAGCAAATCAGCTGAGAGTGGGGAAGCCGAGCTAATTAACCTACACGGAAGCTGTAAGGGGCTGTTTTTTCTATTTTTGCAGGCATTGGTCTACTCATTTGTTTTCTTTTAACACAGAACAGCTGTAGGGCGGCCCTTTGAAGCCCTGAGGCAAGAGTTTAAAACAGTTTTTGTTCCTCTAGCCATCAGCAGCACTCAGGAGGCAGCGGGGACTCAGGAGGCAGAATGAAAAATCGGGACTTTTTTAAAATGCCGTGGGACGCGGGACAAATTGCTAAAAACCGGGACTGTCCCGCCAAAAGCGGGACGCCTGGTCACCTTATATATACCACTTTATGGTACTTTACAGCCCTTTCTGAGAAGAGTCAGCCTCTTGCCCCCAACAATCTGGGTCCTCATTTTACTGACCTTGGAGGAACGGAAGGCTGAGTCAACCTAGAGCTGGTGAGAATTGAACTGCCAAACTGCAGTCAGCTGGCAGTCAGCAGAAGTGGCCTGCAGTCCTGCATTCTAACCACCGCACCACCGAAGCTCACGATACCTTAACCACTACACCGAAGTGGTTGTCTTAAATTTTAAGTGCTATGTATTTTTTTTTTAACAATCCTATATTACTAGGAAAAATGAATCCCGTTTGGGTTGCTACAGTATAAAAAAGATGTTGAGATTCTGGAATGATGCTGAGAAGAGCAATGAAGTTGATTAGGAGGCTGGAGGCTAAAACACATGAAGAACGGTTGCAGGAACTGGGTTTGTCTAGTCTAATGAAGAGAAGGACCGGGGGAGACATGATAGCA